TGCCTTTCTGGATTTTTATGGGGCTGCTTTGCAGGACCATCAGTGAATTCAGATTGCCTCACTGAGCACAGATCCAAATTCTGATGCAGCTCAGATGCTCACATAGGCTCAATCACAGCGTGTTCTCCATCCTGCTATTTTCCCCTTCTCCTTACATGACAACCACACTGCTGCAATTTGTACTGTGCAAATACTCAGTTCCTTGTACAGATTTAAGAAAAATCAACTACACTTCCACAGATAAGAGAGACGTTTAGGAAAACCGATAGCTTGCATTCAACTGAATGTTTGTGATTTTTATTTATTTGCACTGTCCTCTTGTCTGCACTTCCCTATTGGGTAATGACTTTCTGATAGGCTAACTTTACCTTGACAGTGTCAGATCTATGTGCTATTCTCTTTTACTTCTCTCTCCTTTACAATTGTGTCTCGCTATACTTTAAATAGCAGCTGTGCTTAAACCCAGACCTGGCTGAAATTATCTGCAGGTTCTAACAGGGCTTTGGGAGACAAACACAGACAGGCTCAAATTGATAGTGCTTAAGCACCTACTGGGCTGTCTATGAGAATTGCAGTATGACTGTTGCATGAAGATTGCTTATGCCCATAGTGCCTGCAACATTTTGCTGCTGTGGAAACACTTGCTGCTGGTATATGAAAACAGCCATGAGATGTACAGTGATACCACTGCGGCAAGATGGGAACACCAAGATGATTTGGTTGAAAAATGACGGTGAAATGGAAAATGGCAAGCGTAACAATGCCTACAAAAAATTACAGAAGTGTGATTCATCAGCAAAGTGCAACACCTTGCAGCATGTAAAAATGATTACCTTCTGAAGTTCTTCGTGAAGCAACTTATGTTTGTCACATGGGAAGAAAGGAGGGAAGTTACAGAGACAAACTGTAGAATGGCTGGGGTTGGAAGGTATACTTTTTTTTCATGCCTCATTTAATAATGACCCACCCGCTCTACAGCCATTTATATGTGTATAAAAATCCCAAAATGGACTGCTGTGAGGAAATAAAAGAAAGCCCTTGCTGAGGATGGTTTGAAGGGAGCTGGGATGCTTATGGGTTGAGAGGAGGTCTGCATCCCCCTCCTTTGCCATTCTGGGACTCTGTGCACAATGGGAGTGTTTTGGGGTGCTCAGCACACACCCCCAGGCCCATTTTGGGATGAGGAGGTACCAATTACTACTATTTTTTAATTTTAGACATATACCTGAACATCCTTGATACATAAGAGAAATCTTTCAGCACATTTTTTTCAATTTACTTACAGTTTCATTGTACAAGAAGAATAATAAAGCTCTATGGTTTTGAAAGCCACAGTGGTTTAACTGTAGGCTTAACTTAAAACTGCTTTGTCTGATCAGTAGAAAACCCCTATGTAAAATCTCTTATTTCGTTTATCTCAAAATGAAATGACTCTTCAGCTACTGCATAACCGAAAAATCAAACTGGCTTGATCCAGTTTATCTAAGTTGGTTCAAAAACCTAATTTAAGGCTTGATTAAATGCTATTAATGCAAAGTTAAATAAACTACATGCCAGAGAAGGCTATTTTAGGAATGGCTGCTCCTGCTGAAGGGGAAGGTTTTAAAACAAACTAAATTAATTTACTTTAAAAGTTAATAAGATAAACTATGCTAAGTGTTTCCATGTAGAGAAACTTACGGAAGTATGGCAACAAATCCTGTGGAAAGCTGCTGCTCAGCAGAAGACAGGAGCAAATTTCAGAAATCACAGGAAATAAAGCCCTGTGGGTTTGTTGTTGTTGTTATTGTTTGTTTGTTTTTTAAAACAAAACTCAAAATAGGACATTTTTTCTACTTACCATGCAGGGGCACAAAAAACATCTTTTTGTTACATTCACTCAGATTTCTTGCTACTGTTGCTATAATTGCAACTCCAGCACTGAGAACACAGATCAGTGCTAAGAGAAACCAGCGGGGCTGAATCAAGTGCCCCAATGGTGTGCTGTAATCTAGCAAACAACGGGTCTCAAAACATTTGCTTTGCTACTGTCAGGATGTTTGCAACATGAGACATTTCACAGATAAATTCTCAACAGAGGGCTATAGGACCACCCAATGTATTTTGCAAGAATCTGATGACAATAAAATCTCCAAAGATTATCACGTAGTGTAATGGAGTTCACACTGGAAATGTATGCATGTTCAACAGCTAACCTAGCTACAACAACGTTTATGCATAGAAAGCCTCTGCCCCCTAGTGTATGTATAGCAAGGCTCTCTTTCATAGGATATGGGGCAGTGAACCTCCTTGACATAGAAAGAGGGAGAATTTTTTTGAATATGTTAATGTAAAACTTACACGTTTCATCCATGTCCTCCCCCCAGTGACTACATAAGCAGAGAGCCCAAGTAAACTGTTAAGGGTCCCCTGCATTGTTATGGTGAACATTTTGTTTTGTCTGAGGTGCATTTTTAAAAGCTGTTAGACATGTATTTTCCTTTTTCCTTGGACTGACCTTACTTCAGCTGAAGTTCTTATTGATTCACCATTGGCTTCAGGCAGTGCAGAGTGCTATTAACTCAAAGTTTTCTCAGTCATGTGAACAGGTCTGCTGACTTCTTGAGCCTGAGACTGTGTGAAGGATTTGTCCTGAGATCTAGATGACCAAAGAGATACCAACCATTAAAGCCATAATACTTCTTTTCAAGTTAATGTATTTGTTTCCTAAGGAGATATTTGACTTTTTAGTAAAACTGTAGAAAAACAAAAACATGAAGGGACAGAAGAAGCGGATTAAATGACACAGTGGTCCAGAGGGCATTGTGGCAGCTGGAAATTCCCTTTGCTGCTGCTCCCATTGGAGCAATCCTGCTCCCACTCTAGACCTGTGCTTAATGGTCCTGCAAAGTTTGTAAGGCACAAAGCAAAGCAAGACTTTGCTGGTATTGCATTGATCTGGATGTATCACCAATTGCTTTCTGACTGCAGACCTAAGCAGTTTTAATTCCTGTCATCCTAATACCTTGACTTTGTCTGTTTGATTGAGCTCTCATGTTTGACTCATTTCTACATACATGAGAAAGCAGCCATCTATAAAGTTTCCATAATGCTACAAATGCTAGAATCAATGGACTACAATGATCTTTGATCTGTTTAATACCATAGGAGACATGTAGTGCATGAACATCCACAGCAAAGTGTCAACTGCCCACTTCTCAGTACTGCCATACAGTTTGGATGTGACTTTAACAATAAGACTGTCTATTCTAGCATAAAACCTCAGATATGCTGGGCCTGACCCTACTCAAACCTTCTGGGTAGGCACAAGAAGCTTTTGACGTTGGTTTTTTGCTGTTGCTGTTGTATTGGTTTTTGTTTTGTTTTGTTTTGTTTTTAAAGATGGTGTTTTGTCTTTCCATTTGAAAGCCAAGGGAGCATTGCAGTGTGTGAATTTGTGTCAGTAGTTCTATTTACAGATATTGTTTATACCTCCTGAAATAAAACGGTTGCAATTCTTCTGATACATTTGGATGACTGTAACAGTTTCTGACCAAAAACTCTTCAAGATCTCCTATTGTAAAGGTACAACAAGGAATCTAATTATGGCAACCCCAGAGAATGTCCTCATGTACTTCAGTGAGGCACTGCAATCCCCCAAATCAAAAAGCTGTGATGCAGCTTGTCACACTGCCATTTTAGGAACTGGCATACTTCACATTATCTGAGAGAGATCCTTCAAGGAAATGACTGCATAGATCTGTTTAAAGAGAGAAAAAGCAGAAATATTTTGATGGCCATATAATACAGTATGTGTGGGGGCTGTTCAAAGAGTCTTTTAACATGCTCTTGGGTCAGATGCTTCTCGTGTGATGCAGTTAGAAAAAAAAGCAAGCAAAAAGACCCAAACATGTTAAGGGAGATTCTGACTGAAAGCTGTATCATAACATCTTTCAGTAAAGAAGGGACTGAAATACCCTTTGCCCTCGTATTATTCACTTGTGCAGAAAGGGAACACTGAGTAGAGCCAAATTTTAGTCTCTAACCTTCAGGCCAGAGAGCTAAAAGTCTTTTTAAGTATTCTCTCTGAGGTCTTTACACTCCAGAGAAGTCATTCTAACTGAGAACAAAGCTGCAAGCCCAGCTTCCAAGGGCCTCCATGAGATGCCAGTTGATCCCATCCCAGCTACAGGACAAGAAGCCTGGCAGTGAGGGTGGGACAAGGCCCTATTAAAAGAGAAATGAAATGACTTGTCACAATTGAAGCTCAATTATCAGTGATGGCACCAAGTAAAGGTGAAGCTCTGCTTAAATACTGCATGCCTGTGCTTAATGTTCCTCCTAAGAACATCAGCAGCAGAGGGAAGCTGCTCCGGCACAGAGGGCAGAGACACAAAGTGATGAGGAAGTGCTACAGAGCTACCTGGATGCGAGTTCCATGCCGTTACTGGTTAGGCACGATCACACAGCGGCCTTTTCCAACCGCAATGATTCTACGATTGTGCACAGCAATAGCTAACAAGAGGGACAGGAGCAGCTCGTGTGCTGACTGGAAACACTCTATCTGTCTGTGTAACCTTGCTCGCTGTTACACTTGACTTTTTAAAGCAAAAACACTTACACTCTGAAAGTAAAAACTTCCTACATCCGCATCAAATAATGCTAAAACGTTTGCAATGTCACGTTATTCCTCACGGCTGCCCGCGATGTCCACAGCCCCCACCACCCCGCCATGACAGGCACCTCCACCGCCGGGGGATAGGGTGGGGAGAGCTCCCTCCCTATTGGCCGCCTCTCTTCCTACCCTTCTCTCCTATTGGAGGAGACTGCCGGATGGGTGGAGACTCTCGCTGAGTGGCAGCCACAGCGGCGAATCACGGTGGAAGGGCAATCGTCCCCGCGGCCAGCGGTGCGGCCAGAACACGCTGGAGCCAATGGGATAGGAGAGAGGGGGAGGCCGGCCGGGCCGGGTACGGGCCGAGCGCAGGTATTGGGGGGGGGGAGGAGGGCGCGGGTCGGGGGCCAGCTGCGGGGTCTCCACCTGAGCCGGCTCGCTTAAGGGGACGCCGGGGGCTCCGGCACGGGGCTGCCCGGCGGCAGCCGGCATTGCGCTGCTGGCGCTGCGTGCGGCCGCTCAGCTCCGCGCTGGGCCCGGCGCGAAGGCAGGGCACGGCACGGCAGCAAGTAGGTCCGGCAGCTTTGCTGGCTCATGCTGGTGGGAGCTGCGTGGCTGCGCGCGTGGCGTAACGCTTACATACGTGTGTAAAGTAGAAAATCAATTACCTCCGCTTTCTCCGGGGCGGCACGCCTGCCTGGAGCGGCGCCGGGACGTGGCGCTGGGCCGCGGGGCGCCGTGGGGCTCCGGCTCGCGTTTTCCTTCGGAAAGCCTTCCGTTCTCCTGCTGCCCGCCGCCGGCTCCGTACGGTGCGCCGGGATGCGGCCGGCCGTGCGCTCGGATGGACGAGGGCGCTGAGTCCTGCGCACCGCGCAGCTCGGCGGCTGCACGCCGTGCCCTGGGGAAGAAGAGAGAGCGTGGGTGAGCTTCACACAGCGGAGAGGGGCTTCGGGTCTTTGCCGTAGAACCTCCGGTTTTGTTATTTTTTGCGCTCTGGGGCGAAGTGAAACGTGAATGGCAGTTGCGGATCCTGTCTGGTTGGTTCCAAGTAAGCTGTGATTGTAGCGGCATGCACGGCTTGGCTTTATTTATTGGCAGAATCTGGAAGTTTTTTCTCCTGTAGTTTAGTGTGTGGCTTAGGCTTTCTAAAAGCGTTTTCCTCCTCTTTGTATTGACCAACAGCGGCGACTGGTGTGGCTGAAACTTAGGAGAACAGGAGGGCTGTCAGTGTCAGTCTGGTTTGCTCTTGATCTAAGCGTAGCAAAGGAAAATGCTTCTCTCCATCTAATTATCATCTAAGAGAACAGCCTGCATAAGCAGGAGTTTAATACTCTACTTGAGAGTTTAAATATTTTGCCAGGCAACAGCAGCTGTCTTGTGCTGTATTTTATATCGGTGTTTTTTACAATGGATGAAATACAAAGCGAAGGGTTTGGGTTTGTTGCAGCATAGCAGAATGAAAATATAAGGCAAGTCAAGGCTGGATTCTGATGCTCGTGTGAGTAGGCCCAGTTTCAGTGAAATCCATAACGCTGTTTTATCACAATAGAGCAAAGCGGTCCCTGGCACAAAGTACATTAGCAAAGAGAGAAACAGTACCTCAGACCTTCCTGTAAGCTTCACAGGGCTGCTCCGAAGCAGGACTTGCTGTAGTTCCACCTCAGCTGCTCCATTCATAGCAGTACTCAACTCCTGACCTACTTTTTTTGTCCCTTTTCATCTTTGCCACTTTTTTTGAGGGTTTGGTCTTCTATCTCTTAAACATCTTATGATTTTTTGAATCTGTCCTAACAGTTTGCATCCATCCACAGAAGAAAAGGGGAAACCTTGCCCAATACCTGTGACTTATGGAGTAAATTTGAAGACTGGCATTTGCTCCTGTCCTTTGGTAGACACTGCTCTTTAGTTGTCTGAATATAGATGCAGATATGATTTCTGCCTCCCAAGGATGCTGTCAGACCTTTTCTCTCTATCCAAAGAAGCAGTGTCAGAAGAGTGTGTGGCTTTGGTTGTCAGGCGCTTTGTTGGCTTCCTTCCCATTCTTCAAGTGAGATTCTTGAGCAGACACTTCCTCTCCTTCCTCTCCTTTCTCTGCTTTTTCTTTGCTCAGTCTGTGCTCAGGGCATGACTGTGGGAGTTGCCAGGCAGGTCCTTCTGTCCTTAAAGAAGAGACTGCTTAAACCAAGGCTCTGTGTGGCAGTCAGCATGGCCTTGGTGCCAGTTTGTAGTGTAGCTTGGATGAATGAATGGTGGCATTAAACTGACTCAGAAGGGGCCAGTGGTGCAGCAGAGGGTCCCCTTCTCTGTAAGCCATTCATCCAAGGCCCTTGCTTGGCCCAGCACTTGTTTCTTACCATGGGCACTGGCAGTGGGGCTGCTCAGGAGCCATTGTGGGTGCCAGTCCTGCTGAAACCTGGAAGACAAATGCCCATTGTCTCTTCAAAAGAACTGGGTTTCTGATGAGCACCTGACATTTCTGCTATAAGCTGAGGATGGTGGGACAGCCCCTTTGGCAGTAATGCAGATTTAGGTCACTTTAAGGCAGCTGTGAATACAACTTCAGAGGATTTGTTGAGAGGATTTGCTGAGGGCCAGTGGCTCCAGTAAAATCCTTAATGCTTTGGAGGCGGTTTCACCTTTTGCTGTGCAGTAAACAAGGGGTGGTAAAGCAGAGTTCAGGTGTGAATCTGCCTGCTGATCAAAGTATTGTTATATCTCTGCCATTGTCCTTTCTGAGAGTGAGTAACAGAATCTATCTGGCATAAAAATGTCTGCCTGTAATATAACACAGGACTCTTTTTCAAAGTAATCATGAGGTTTAGTAATTAGTGGAATATTTTTGCTGTCTTCAACTCTTCCAGTAGTCATGGCACGACTGTGATGTACCAAGTAGGCTTATTGGCTTCTGCTTTTGAAATCTGCAGCATTGCTTTGCTCAGTTGTGTTGCGGTTTCTTAAATGTTGGGAGAAAAAAAATCTTTAATATTTTTGTTGGGTTGTTAAACCTGAATATTGGTCCCAAACTATGAAAGAGTAAAATCTTTTTTTTTTTTTTCTTTCTCTGGTTTCTTGACACTAGCAGGAAGTTTAAGAATTATTTAAATTCCACAGCTCACAGATTTAAGTACTTTGAATCCCATGGCATGCATATTTTAACCCACAGGCAGGTCTAGATGTCATGTTTATATGATTGCACATTATATGTGTATGTTACTTTAAATAAGGCCTAAATCTTCTAACTGAACCAGAATCTAGACTCTCAGCTGTGATATATGAGCCCCCACATGCTGAGTGGAAATAGCATGTTAAGCACCTGGCAAGTGGAAATTTTTGCCTCAGTAAGAAAAAAATCAGTACAAAAATGTAGGTGTCAGGCACCTTGCTCAGAAAGAACATGATATCACTGTAAAGATGACATGCCTGGTTTCAGGGCTGCCCCTGCATTTGTTTCCCATAAATGTACAATTTTTATCACCAAAAGAGGAACCAAATGAGAGGAAAAGGCTTGAAGAGAAGGCAGGGGAGGAACAGTTGTCTGAAAATTTGCTTGGGCGGAATGAGATTTGCTTTCTAAAATATCTTGAAGGTGCTAGATGTGTTCAAAGTTTTGTGAAAGAGTGGAATCTCACACTCCTCCCTCTTTCCATCCCTTGAAGTGAATTTTAGTTTCTTTAATGAGAAGCAAGAATCTGTCACCGAGCTTCAAGGCATCTACTCTGACCTCTCAGGCTAGCTGGTAGACAGTGAAATCTACTGATTGACCTGCAAGTGCTTGATTCCCATGTGACCGTGTCCAAGTCACATGGCTGCTTCAGCTTCCTTCTCTGAGCTGGATTAGTGGACTAGTTTTACTTATGGATAGGTGGCTGAGAATCAGGTGTCTGGAGCTGCTCCTTTGCTGAGCTGACTTAATAAGCAATAAAAGGAATTTCTGCTATCACCTATCCTTAGAGCTTCCTGAAATCATAGCTCTAAGGCTGTTTTGTATTAGCCTTGTATTAGCCTTAGTAGGGGCAGAGCACACCTCCTCTCTCTGATGCCTTAAAAACAAAATAAAAAATAACAAAGCAAACAAAAAAACAGCTGTTCCTTTGCTTTCTGCACTGTGCCACTCCTTTCTTTGCTGTTCTGCACAGCAATAGTGTGGAAAGAGGCCAAAAATTTCCAGCCCCCAGCTGTTGCCTATCCAGGTGGCTTTGCTTTTAAGCACAAGGCAACATGGGGGGGGGGGGGGTGATATGAGGGTATGGGAAAGAGGTGGCTCACTTGAAGATCGTGTCTTTCCCTTTCTTTTCTCAACAGTCTCTGGGCAAAGAGAAGAGTTGTTTCTGAAATTCATCTGGTTAATCAACAGTCAAAAAAGGGAAGACACCATGTAGCTCCTGCTTAGTGGCTTATGTGAAGCTGAGGCTGCAGGTTACTAGGAAACTTCTGCTACCTGCTAACACTTGCAGGAGTGTTGTGCAAGAGCTGAGCTCTCTAACTTGTTTAGCAGTCAGCCAGCATTTGAAGTATAATGTTGTTTGGCTCATGCAAAGCAAATATTAAGCACTGAGAAATCTCCTTTGTGAATATCAGGGTGCTAATGGGAGAGGCAAAGCATAGAGGCAGAAACTATGAAAGCTGTGGCAGAGGAAAAAATGCTAAGTTGACCACATCCAGTTGGGTCAGTGCTGTGTTTGCTGTTCTCCCTAACTGCAAACGATTTTAACTGAATGGATTGTTGTGCCTGATGTGACAGCAGATAAAATCAGCAACTAGGAGTCACAACGCCTGCCTGCTGAGTTTGTGACTCTTTTTCAGGCTTCCAGTTGTTTGCACTGCTGTGTTCACTGTTTCTCTTTCTTTTGGCTTCCCTTGTCCTCTCAAGTCTTGTGTAGTGCTTGGCTGAGCCCCTCTGGAGTGCTCCCTGTGCAAACGACGATGATCACGTTCATGAACAACTCCGACAGTGAGGATGAGCCCTGTAATGAGAGAACATCTCTGATGTCTGCAGAGAGCCCTCCAGTACCTTCCTACCAAGATGGTCTGCAAGCCTCAGAAACAAGGGAAGCACAGACACATAGGGTATGTATGCACCCTTCTTGGGAGTAAAGAAGAGGGATATGAGGATAAATGTAGTCCTGTTACCCCCCCCCCCCCTTCCAGTCCCTCCCAGCAGGCTGGCTTCTAGGATTGGCTATAGCCTGTGTTATTGCTGCCCTTGGCCAGCAACTGTAATGCCTGTTACTTTTTCCTCCTCTGTGACTTTCCCCCTTTTTCACTCCTCATATATACTCCTCCCCTTTCCTTCCTTTTGGTAAAGATGCAAGCTTTTAATCAGGATGTGATGTACATAACTCTTGCAGGATATCCTCTCCAGAGTTTTTGTTTTTCCAGAAGTGTTGGAACAAAATCTTGTCCTACTACTAGTGAAGCAGCATGGTAAAGCAAACGCAGTGCTGCTGTGGGAACAGGAATTGCTCAGGCTTTTATACTATCTTAGATGGAATTTATTCTCTCCCAGTTCTCTGCACCTTGTTCTTCATGTGTATGTGTCAGTCTGTCTGTATATGCCTCGAAGAGCCGTCAGATATTCATGGTTCTTTATTAAGAACTCTGTTGCAGCCTGTCTGTAATGGAATTCCTAGTTGCATTGCTCAGTCGGTACTGTCTTATTAGGAACAAGTTGGTGTGCTGTGGTTGCCCACAGAAGCCTCAGCCAATATGATGGAATGAAGCTTTGAGCACAAAGGAAAAACTCTTACGTATTTGCTAATTCTTCTTTTCAGAAGAGGCAAACAGGTAGCAGCCGTAACCCAAACAATGTTGCTGATGAGGATGCGTCTAACTCGGATGTTCGAGTGAGAGAGAGTGCCTTGGAAAACGAAGAGGAGGAACTGACTCTGAAATATGGAGCAAAGCATGTAATCATGCTTTTTGTGCCTGTCACCCTTTGTATGATTGTTGTCGTCGCCACCATAAAGTCAGTGCGCTTCTATACGGAGAAAAACGGGCAGCTGTAAGTGGGGTCTTCAAAACAGCCTCTGAGTACATGGGATCCCCTAGTATTACACACATGTTCCACGCACACGCATCTGTGTATACAGATGTGTACACATGAGTGCTTTCTTGGCAAGCTGGGGGAGCCTTTACACAGCTGAAGGTGGCTGTGTAAGCATACCAAGACCTTACAAAGATGAACGCAGCATACTTTTAGTAAGTTTTTTTTCTGTACCTGCGTTACACTGATTCATTAGTGCTGTCATTAGGCATTAGCCTGTGAGTAGCATAGTAATGAAGTTGCTTCATACTGTGGTATAGAAGACCCAGGCTTAACTCAGTCTGTTCACTCAGTGGCTGGCAGCAATCAGGGAATAGCATGTTCATTTGGATGAGTGTCTCATTTCCTGATGACGTTTTTGTTTCTTAAAGACTCATGGTGTGGATACATAATTCCATCTAGCTCTTGCTGATTGTGTCCAAGAGTGTTCCTGGGGCTCTAACTGCACTAATCATGATTGGTGGATGAATGGAACCAAAGAAAAAGGCGGGGAGGAAGCGATGTGATGAAAAGGAGTAAAACAACCTATGGCACTTTTCCCTTTTGCAGAGCAACACCTGGGATGTATCCTTGTCATTATCATGAAGAGGGTCCATAGGCATGAAGTAAAAATTAGTGGCCTGGAGAGAAATTCTCAGACTTAGTCACTTATGCTCTCGGAGTTTTTCTTTAGAGCTTTGCCAGCCACAGCTACTCTGTAGGAATGTGCTTTTGTTTAAAAACAACTAATCTTTAGTTGATAATTAACTGGAGCCTGGCCCCTTCAAAGGATACATCTCATGTTTACTGCCCTTGGCAGTCATATTTCCCTTTCTTTCCCACGTACACACAGAGATTGGTTTTTATCTTAGGGCAATTGTTTAGAAGAGAATATATGTACTTCACATGGCCTTGCTTTATACTGCAGGATCTACACCCCTTTCAGTGAGGATACCCCATCTGTGGGCCAGCGTCTCTTGAACTCGGTGTTGAACACTATCATAATGATCAGCGTCATCGTCGTAATGACTGTGTTCTTAGTTGTGCTTTATAAATACCGCTGCTACAAGGTAAAGCATTCATGACAGAGCCTTCTCTACACGTAGTCTGTAAGCATGTTCAAGTACTTGCATGTCAGTGAGAAATTAAGGCACCACACGGGCTAGTGCACAACTTAGTCATGGCAATAATCTCATTGTAGAGAAGCCTTTGCTAGCAGTGGTAGAGCTGTGCTCCAGTGTGTTATTTTGCCACAAATATTAGGATATCGAAACAAGGCCTGTTACTTGTGCTAGTCAAATCTGAGTATTCTTCATACAAGCTGCCAAATTTTTTTTACTGTATTTATGGACTAAGTTGTTCACTGCAAATGCCTTCTCTGAAATTCTGGACATGCTGTGTGAAATTCTGGACAAGCTGAGTTAGTATTATTCTTGCCTGCGGAGGTACCAGTGGATGAGAAGGATGGAATGTAGAATGAAAGAGTCAGGGAGAACTAGCAGCAACTGACTGTCTTTCCTCCTTCACCAGCTGTGGGGAAGGTCTTTGGAAACTGGAGAAGTGAAAAAAGAAAGTTGGACAATGCAAAGTTCTGTCAGTAGTGCATGCAGTGCTGCGAACTGTGCAGTGAGGAACAGCCCCTTCAGTCACTGTCTTTTTTTACCCTTAATAGTTCATCCATGGTTGGCTAATCCTGTCCTCTTTTATGTTGCTGTTCCTCTTCACCTACATATATCTCGGGTAAGTAGAGATGTTGCAGGTAACCTGGCAGTTCAGAACTAACTCTTTCACCTCTTTGAAGAAAATCCCCAACTTCATGAACAAAATGTCTTTCCCCTTCTCCAAAGCGACCTTTTATTTAAAAAAAAAAAATAATAAAAAATGAAAGACTAGTTCTTTAATGGACAATGCCTGATTTTTACAGTACATACTCTACAAACTTCACTAGGAATTAATACAGTGAGCATAAGGTGAATTGACTGAACCTTGTTGTACAGAGGTGCATTGATAACTCAGGAAATATAGGTATAAATTGCCAGCATCCTAGGACATGTTATAAATTGTTTTTAGAGTTGTCATGACAAACTGTTTGGCTAGGTGGAGGTTTCCAATACATGCCGTCAGTTTGTGTTTAGCCTCTGAGAACCAAGTGTGAAGAAACTTTATGTACTAAGCTGGTTCTCTGGCTTGTCTCACTTTATCCTCAGGCTGTATCTCTTCAAACTCATTTCACTGCATCCAAGCTTAGAGAGAATAAAGTTTTTAACTTCCAGTTTATATGTTTTTAATTCATCTTCAGTATTGAACATCATAGTGCTAGTGGTTTACCTGTATTTGACTTCTTAGCTAAAGACTGTCATGTAGCCTGTGTTAAATCTTGAAATCTGGCCTGTTCAAATCCTTGAAATCACCTCAGGATTAAGGCAGCATGGTACTTGCCTGCATGCATAGGGTGTCTAATCTCCTGTACAGGGAACAGAGAGTTAAGAACACCAGCTGGCTGCAAAGCAGGTTCCCCTCTTGTGATGAGGCCTGCTTCTGTCTTGCTTCCTTTTAGTATCACAGGAGGCCTTGTTTAACTACAGCTAGTGAGATGCTTTTTGTGTCAGGTTTTTTTTTGTTTTTTGATATATATATTTTTTTTGGCTCAGCTGAATTTCCCTCTTGTATTCCAGTGAAGTGTTGAAGACATACAATGTGGCCATGGATTACCCCACGGTTATCTTAATCATCTGGAATTTTGGAGCTGTTGGAATGATTTGCATCCACTGGAAAGGTCCCTTGCAGCTCCAGCAAGCATATCTCATTATGATCAGTGCTCTGATGGCACTAGTTTTTATTAAATACCTACCTGAGTGGTCAGCATGGGTGATTCTAGGTGCAATCTCAATTTATGGTAAGTCCAGGTTGTGAATCTCAAGGCTCATGGAGAAGTTACTCTGTGGCAATCTCAGGGCTGTATGTGTAATTCAGAAAATGATTTTATCATTCTTACAGCTTCAGAAAGAGGCAATTAAGTTGATTCCTTGACTTGTTCACTTGTTCATGTAGTTACTGTACTTCTACCATGTCATTCCTTCCTTAGAGTGGAATGCCGATTTGAGGAAGTGCTGAACCACATCTAATTGGTTGGCAGGGATGGTTGGATTTTTATCAGTAGCAACCTGATAGTCTTGCAGGTTTCAATTGCCAATTATGAAGAAATCATAGATTTTGGTATGAGTTAAAAGCTTGAAGGGAACCTGCAGAACAGGAGGTATCTGCAAGGTAACATTTAGATTGGTGAGGAGCTATGAGAGAGAGAGAGTGTAAGCAAAGAGGAATTGGACCAAAGGGCTTGATTCACCTGAAAAATAGACTTAGTGTATGTAGTGACAGATTGTAGAACATGAAGTATCCTCAGTCCTTCTCTAAACTAACTATTTTGTGTAATCTGGTCATCTACTTTCATAGAAATAATGTGCTCTCAAAACAAACAAACAAATAAAACAACTCAAGTATTAACACAATGAAAGCTCTTAATTGTCATATTAAGCCTTGGGGATGGTAATTAAGTGAAACATGTCTTTAGAGACTAGCAGCTGGAATTACAGAGTGGCAGAAAACTCCATTTGGGAAGTCATCCAGTAAATACTGATAGATGCCACTATGAGGGACGAATAGTTTTTCAAGTACTAGAAATGTAAAATGTGTTACAGCTTAAGATGAGATTGTCTGGCCCCTTTCTCTTTGCAGATCTGATTGCTGTTCTCTGTCCTAAGGGGCCACTGAGAATGCTGGTAGAAACTGCACAGGAGAGAAACGAGCCCATTTTTCCTGCATTAATATATTCCTGTGAGTAAGATCAGAATATTAATGCTTTTAACCACATTAAAATTGCAGGCATTTTCTGTGTCGAATCAATAAGCGCTATTTTAGTTACTTCCTTGCCCTCAGATTCATGTGCATTTATGTCCTGTAACACACTGTTTGTGGAAGGCCTTGTTTATCACTTTCGATGGCATTAACTCTAATCAGCTGCAGCAGGGGCAGGTTTGCCTTTTGAAGCTGAAGCATTCAAAAGTCAGTTTGTCTTTCCATGAATACACTGCAGAACACTCCCCTTTGTTCTACATACAAAAGCCTTGTGTAGACAGCAGTGTTTGCAAAGTTATTTAGTTAGATGATGCCCTCTCAGTACCCATATTCCTTCTGCACATGCTTTATAAACATACTTTAAGTGTTTAAGGAGCTTCCATCTTCTCCTGTAGCTTTCTCTTCTGTGCACAGTATAAATGGAAGTGCTTAGAATGTACTTGCTTTGTTTTTTCATTGTGTGGCTACTCCCTTCAAGTGGCTCTATGCAAATATTGCTCTGCAAACAAAATCAGTCATCCCTTTGCTGGCTTTTGTAGGCTGCTTAGCTGTGATCATGTCCTGTACCCTTGTCCACAAAGGCATTTGTATGCTTAAGATTAAGTTAGGTAGAAGGTGGGAGACTTAGGACTCCCAGGATCTGGGCTCAAGTGCTTCATGGGCCTCAATGACTTCCATTACATCTTTCTTAAGATGAAAGGGTATTTCTAAACATTGGATGCCATGCTGAGGATGCCTACAACTTGGCTGTTATGGTTGTTCAAGTATTTAGTGCTATATAAAAATGCTCTTTTGTGTTCCAAGTTGAGGTTCTGTTGGCTTCAGCTTGGAATGGAAGTGAAACATAAGTCCTTTTTATTTGAGATTCTGTTATGTTGGCCTGAGACAACCTAGATGAAGCCTCCTGGTTGTTTTAGTTAACATACAAGAGTTTCCTTAAAGGAGAATGCAATTCAACAAATAATAAATACTGAACCACAAGTTGTGCAGAACGTCAGCGTCTCCACTGCAAGACCACATTCTGTGGATATCTCTAGATGTAAAAACATCATGTTGGCTGAACGTGTAATGGAATAGCAGACACTGTTTGCCTTGGCTTTTTTCTTAGTTTAGTTTAGCTTCAGTGAAAACAGGAAGACTGATGTACACTTAAATAAAAAGCTGATTTGAGTTCCCTTCCACTGATCTCAGAATGGCTCGTATCCCTTCTTAAATTAGGGATCTCAAGAATAAACCCACAAACATTCTTCAGTTGTTCTTGGAATCAAAACCAAAATTGCCCATATTTTGACAGGAAAAATAATACCGAAGAAAAAGGCAGAAAGAAAACCAGCACTGAGCTCCACTGTGTCCTTCGTTTCTGTGGTTTACCTTTAGCAGAAGAGGGGGAGCATGCCATCCAACTTAACCTCTGGTTACATTTGTACTAGCATCATTTCCTGTGCAACTGTTCCCTTTGAACAGAGACAGAAACCAGGAGGAAAACAAAGGAGATGAGGACCCTTGTTTTTTATTTTTGCTTTCTTCAGCCTGTAGAGAACACAATACTGACTTGTGCTCTGAGACTCTTAAAAATTGAACAGATATACTGTCTTAACTTGCTCTGACCTTGCCTTCTAAAGAACTGGGGAAACAGCCAGCATTTACAGGGGGAAGTGTTTATGTTTTCAGCGATAGCTAAATACTTAACTGAGCTACAGTGACTGGTGTTTTAAGCAGCTGATAACTTGCTTTCTTTCTTCTAGCTGCCATGATATGGACAGTTGGAATGGCAAAACCAGACACAGCAGCAAAAGGACAAAGCCAACAGACATGGAATGCAGGTATGCTTGCAAGTCACTCTCCTATATAGAGCAGTGGCCCATGGAAATAATACATACGTTTGCAACTGCAAGCAAATGCAAGCCCTTGAATCTCAAAGGACACACTTTTTTGTAGTATTGCTATGTTAGTTGCAGAACTTAATGCTGCTCTTAAACCCTCCTCTTTAAATGGCAGCAAAAATTATTAGATGATGTTGGAAGTTCCAGTATTCAGGCTGCCTTTATTCAAACTAATAAAAACCCATCTTGAGATGTACTGAAGTCAAAGGTGGAAGTGAGTCCTGAGTTTTTTGTTTAACAGCTTTACCAGCTGGTGATGGTTAATTACAACATAGGCTCGTAACAATAATGCCAATGAACTGGTGAACTTGAGTGCATTTCAGTGTATTGTGTTCAGACAACTGCCATGAAACAGATGTGCACTAACCTCACTCTAAGTTCAATCTGGCTTACTCTGACAAAGAAAATGGACATTCTTACAGTTGCCCTTGGATAAAGGTTTGGGCAGTTACACAGCAGTAGCTGTGTTCCAAATTTATGTTCTAGCTGGTCCTGTGTCAATTTGTGTGTCACTGCTTATACCCTCTTAAAATGCAAATAAAACTACAGTTTTGAGAGTGATTGAATAAAATCTGACTTCTGGTGTTGCAAGCATTTCCTATCTGGTTCTACTGCACTTCAGAGCAGCTTTTTATGCTGAAGAAATACACTGTGTTCTGAGGTTTGATAATGGAACATACTGCTTATTTTCAGGCTGAAGTAGCTGACATACAACAGACCACAGGGACACAATCTTACTTTTAAATCTAGCACAGAGCAGGAGCAAACTACACTATTGGGTTTACTGAATGCATCAGTGGAAACTGTGTGTCCCAGGTCATAGTCTGCTTGCATCTGCAGTGGCAGCATCCAGTCAGGCTGACATGAACTGGAAAGTTTGTATGAGTGCTTCTGAAAAATATGAACTGTCAGCTAAAGTAATGTCTCACAGATCAGATGCTTTTGAAAGCACCTGGGAAAGATGAAAGCTATTGGTTAGATGTGTTTAACAGGATTTAAAAAAAACCAAAAACTTGTGAAGAAGGAAATGTCTACTTACCTGTGCATGATCAGCCAACTCCAACGTCAGTGTGATTCAGGGCAGAACTTTTCTCACAAATGGCTGTTCTCCTAGTCATCCACTTTTTTTGTTGTGCTACCTAAGCACCTCCACCCTAAAGAAGTAACAACATGGCACTATGTGTTAACTTTACTCGGTTTCACTTGTCACTTTAGTCTGCCCAGACAGCAGATACTAGCACATCTGACAATTTGATCCAGAGATTGAGAATTGAAGTGAAAACTCCCTTTGTCTTTAATAACTGGTAGATAAATGCTTAGTTTTGTGCATTTACTCACCTGTTTAGGCCACTGAACTCCTGGATAGCAGCCAAGTGAGCTGTGAGCATGCAATCATCTGGACTGTTCCAAATAACAACATGCATGTTTTCATCAAATACACTGAATGTCTATGATTGAGCTGGTTTGTTTTGTTTTTTTCCTTCTTGGCCTATGTTTGTGAAACCAACAAGAAGATGGAGGAGAGAACCACAGTAGCACTTCACATTCAGACTCCCAGATTTTGGACACAAGGAGCCCTGCTCCCAGCCATCCCATCACTTTAGAGGAAATGGAAGAAGAGGAACGTAAGAGAAGCTTGATACATTGTTTTCAGCGCAGTCAGGACCATGGCCTGGCATTTTTACTCATGGTGGTTAACACTGTAACTCATTTGGGCCTAATTACAGTTTATTTGAAAAGCTGTGACTTGCTGAGGAACTAAGGTCCTGTCCCAACTCTATTAGTTGCTGCTGCAGTATCTGTTCTGGGTTTGTGGTTCCAGTGACATGCCTTTGGCTATGCAGACAACTTAAGCAGTTCCTTCTTCCCCTTGCATCCCCCTCCTTTCTGTCTCCGCACTTCCTCAGCTGGAGGGCAGCACAAGGAAGTGCCTTTGAGAATTAGGTTACGTAAAAAATAATTGCAGAAGAAGAGCTGAAAGTCTTGGCCTTCCCATTAATCTGTGGAGGTAATCCCTTTTACCTCTGCAGAATGCAAAAGGTTCAGCTTGGTTGGTAGCCAGGACTAGCAACCTTCACCTGGTCCCCAGGGGATAAGACTTGGCTCAAGAGGAAGCAAAACAGGAGAAGTAAGACTTGTTTTCTTTTCCCTTCCACTTCTTGCAGGAGGTGTGAAACTGGGCCTTGGAGACTTCATATTTTACAGTGTGCTGGTTGGGAAAGCAGCTGCCACACCTAGTGGAGACTGGAATACTACACTGGCCTGCTTTGTAGCCATTCTCATAGTAAGTGAGCAAGTTTTTGAAACCACCATAGTCTTATTTATCATAGCAGTATATTGCCAGAAGTATAAACAGCTAAGGACTGCTAAATCACTCCAGGTAATATCCTGGGTACTCAGGTGAAAGCACCCGTGGATTTCCTAGCTCAGTGCTCTGTTTATAAAGACAGGCTTTAAGTGACTTCTAGGAGAAGCTGGGTGACATAGGCTGGGAGGGAGGACTCCTCAGAGCGGAGCCAAATGTGGAGATGGTGTTGGTCAGACCGAAGGAAAATAGCAACAGCTGAACTGCTTGCATGTTTCTTCTGTGTTAGAGACTGGGGACTTGGTCAGAAGCAAGAGTCAATATTATGAACTTCATGTTGATAGCAAGTGTAGTCAAGGAGGCTAGCTAACTCCCTTTTGCTAAGCAGATCTGATATAAGAGGATGAAGGCATACTTTATTCTTGTGTTTGAGCTGGGAAAAAAAAAAACAAAAACAGAACATAAGGAGACTTAAAAAATCCATAGAAATTATGAGTAAAAGTAGATGACTATCAAATTGTATCTGCTTAAGGACTCAGGTCTGCCAGATCTAATGACTGTATGCTGTTGAGCTTTCACTTATGCAGAAAATAATAAATAGTAACTAGTTCTTTATACCAGCATCCTTGTTGAAACTAAGAAGAGCAGTGGCAGGAGTTCTAGGAGACAAAAGAAAATGAATTATTGTGTCTTTCTTGAGCTTCCATTTCCCTAATTAGGCCCCAAGGGTAGAGAATTATAGTGACTCTCAGTTATGAAGAACATGCTCAGAGAGCACTGGAATTAGAAATCTAATCAATCAAATAGTGTGTTGGCTACCTTTCCTGATGTGTCCTACCTCATAGGTCAGAGATGCCTGTACAGTTGCCTCTCTCTCTATGCTGAGGTCCAGCACAGGGTCCCTGTACTGTGGGAAAGCACTCCTCTATCTCTCAGGCCTTATACCCTATTCCGTGTCTTTTAAGGTGCTGTTAAATTTGTTCTGGTTTCTTCTCAGTTTCATAATTCTGGTGCTTTGTGGCTTTCTGGTTCCAAAACTGTCCCTGCCTGCAGTGTTCAGGCAGTGGGCACATCTTTTAATTACACTGTGGAGTAGATGTAAACCAGATATGGTCCACAAAGAGTGTTAAGAACAGAGCCATAGAGTCAGTTGAATTGTAGCCAGCCATGCAGCCCAGAAACACTGATTTAAAAATAAATAAATAAAATCCCACCAGCTGATGCCTAGCAAACGGATGTTTGGTGGAGCCCAGCATGAACATCATCTCTGAAGTTTCATCATCATAAAGGAAGACAAAAGGGCTCAGATAAAAGAAGTAATCCATACCTAAATATACTTAATCCAACTGTACTGTATATCCCAAACCTTTAAAAGCTTCCACATGTTTCCTACGAGATGGACTTTGGCCTGATAAGAAATAAAAGTAGAATTCATTTCTTATAATAAGCAGACCAGTCAAAAGAACAGCAGTGGGATATTTCTTGGTCATTTCTTTTTCCCCCAAGAAATCTTGAAATGTGTGAAGGTGGTACAAGTATGTGCTGCTGTGTGTTAGAGCCGTCCAGTGAAACTCCTTGCAATTCAACAGGACTAGATAGTTTATTGCTGGTTCAGTAATTGGTACAGAATGGTGTAGAACAAAATGTAAAATAATCTGAAAATAAATTAACCTCTCAATATGTCAGCAGAAGCTGTTTACACTAATTTCTGGAGCTGTGCTCCAAGGTTGCTGAAGAATATACTTGGCCAGCTTTAGAAAGATGAAGATGTGGGGAAATATATCTCATTTCATTGGTAGTTCAGGCAGGCTTCAATTTCTGTACAGCGTATCTAGCTTCCTTATATATTTGAGTGTTACCAGAGGTATGTTTCTGGGCTTCTTACTTTATTTCCTTGTGTTTTTATTCTCTCTGGCAGGGTTTATGTTTAACTCTCTTATTACTGGCTGTTTTTAAGAAAGCACTTCCTGCTCTTCCCATCTCCATCACCTTCGGCTTGATTTTTTACTTCTCGACAGACAACCTTGTGCGACCGTTCATGGACACCCTGGCCTCCCACCAGCTGTATATTTAGAAGAAGTGGGAGTTGAAGAATTCTTTTTAAGCTTTGCAGTGAAGTATGGTACACTGTTTGGAATAAGTCATAACGTTTTTCACCTAGTGCCATATATTTGTAAGGAAAACAGTAACTCTGTGACATGATGTGTACTAAGAAGCTAGCTACATATTAAGCTGAACTTTTTCACAGGACTCCTAACTCTCGGACTCCATGGAAAGCCTGGCTCATTGCAGATGTCAGAGCATTACTTAAATGTTATTTAATGTGCAAACTGGCTCTCATGAGCAAGGAAACCTGTATGTAGTGTGGGGTACTGGAGAGATGAAGGGTCTGATCTGTGCTTCCAAAAGCTCAGGCGTTCTAGCCTTAGAATTGCAGTCAAGTTTTGCTGTGCTCTGGAGTTGTCAGCATTTCACACTTTTGAAGTGTTGTGTGCATGTGTAGTAAAAGGCAGTCTTGCTTGTAATTAGAAAAGCACAGCAGTATGCAGAGAACAGAGCAGTGTGTCACACCTCATTGTGAGCACTAAACTGATGTGTGATGCTGAACTTTATAAGCTAGGCTGTGTAACTGCCCCAATTGTCTCTTTGTTCTGAGCCTAGTGAGACATGGCTGCCACGGTTCTAGGTGGGATGTCAGCAGTAGGATGTCTGAACATCAGGCTTCTGTTTGAGTGCATCCACCTGGGCAGCTAATTGCTGAAGGCAGGGCTGACTGTTAAGCAGATCAGATCCTCAGCGTGGAAATTGTTGCACAGCTCCCAGTAAATCAGTTGACCTGTAACTTCTTGTGTGTATCTTTGGTCTCATTTCTGTACATTGTCGTAGCTATTTCAGAGGAGTACTTACCTTCCCTCTATGAAGAGGTCCTCTGATGCTGACTGAAGCTTGGTTTACCTAGTTTTTGGTACTGTTGTTTAAAGAGCTTTTATTACAAATTTTAAAATAGCTATTTAATGTAAAAGGAACTCTTTTGAAAATACTGTCATAATTTGTATCAAAATATGGGGGTGCAAACACCAACCTGCTGTCACATTACATAAGGTACCACTAATGCTGGAAATGTTGACACAGCCTCAAGTGACTTCATTAAAAAAAACAAAAAACAAAAAAAAAACCACAAAAACAAACAAAAAAAATCACACTGCGTGTTGCCAGTAAAGAAAAACAGGTCTGACTCTCTCCTCACTAGTTATTCCTTCCAGTTATTACTTAATCACTGTTTTCCTCCAGATTTTAAAAACATTTTATTTCTACTCTGAGGGTCATTTTTAGCAGTAGTTCTGTGATTTCCTTTTTTCTTTTTACTTGAGAGTGTAACAAACAAGCTCTGTTTTCTTTGACAGCTGATGAGTATCAGTGTTTAAAATTGTAACATTATGCAGGGCTTTTTGAACAATGCAGTGTCACTGAGAGATACAGAACTTCAGGTCTGAGAATCCTTTTTAGATAAGGCTTTGAAGTATGCCTTTTTAAGATAATGTTTTTTCCAGTAGATTTCTTCAAGCTAATCTACTTTTTGATATTTTAACAAGAACATCAGGTAGGTGCTTCAAACAAATCTTTAAAAAGCACGTAAGGTGTTTTGAGTTGTGTGTCTTAGTTTGGACAAGTTTGTAATTTTTGCTCTTGGTTTAGTTTGCTGTTCTTACTACTTACAAATTGCAGACAACTAATTATTACTGATAGCTATTTTCCTTTGGAAACAAACTGTCTGCTTGTTTTTTAAGGTTTATATAAATTAGTTGTTGTTTTTCTTTTTAATGAAAACAGTTACGGGGCCAAATCAAAATACAATCATTTGCAATCATGATTTTATATTTTATACTGCATGATGTAGATGATGTGAAATACTTTATATATAAGAAAAAATCCTGCTTGGCTTAACATATTGTAGCATATTGTTAGAAATAATTTATTTTTCTGAAATTAAGTTGATATATGAAGGAAAGTGGGTGGATCCTTCTCGCTGAAGTATCATTAATAGAGCTTGAGTTCTATGTAGATTTGTGCTGGCCCCTGAGCAAATTCTACATAACTTAGAAAATAATTTAAAAGGTGACTGAGCAATGGATTCTGTCAGTGCAACTAAATGTACTTGCTTGGTGAGTAAAGGGGTATATTATGTGTGTATATACTGGAGTGGTTCTAACTGTGTAAATGTTTATATGTATTTACTAATATATATTCACTGTGAGTGTGTGTATATGTATGTATATACACACATACAAGAGTTTTAAAATGGTGTTGAGTGATCTGTCATCTCATTGGACATTTTCACTTGTGTATAAAAGTGAAGTTCTGTTCGTGTTGTTAGCATTGCACGGGATGGCACAGGATTTATGTTGTGCCCTTCAAAAAGGATGAACTGTAGCCTAAGGGCTATGTGAGGAATGGGCTCAATGATCTTGCAACTTGAGTGAGTGTGTGTATGTATGTGTGTGTGTAGTTAAGTGCTTGTCTGTCTTTTCTGTGCACTCGCTGATTTCACCTTGCTGCATGCCCTGCTAAACTGCAGTCCGACCTTGGAGAAATCCTAAATACTAATGTTGATTTGCCTCCATGAAAATGTACAGCTGTCAGGTAGGTTAGGATGATAACTACCTTAATGCAGGTGTCATTCAACAGCTTGGAGTCCTATAGGAGATGTTATGTGTTTGTATTTTCCTACATCTACCCTATCAAACCTTCTTTCCAATTTAGAATGAGTGTTTCATTGCATCTGGACTAAAGCATAGCTTGGCCATAGAACAATCCCTAATGTGTAAGACTGAAGTAATACCCAGGAACAAAAATGCAGTGGTAAGTCTGTCTAATGCTGGGGGATATGCAGCATTTAGTGCCTTCCTTCCATTTCTATCATATTGCTACAGACTTTCTATTATTTCCCACTAAATTCAAGATGTTTGAAGTTGATGTTGTCAGCTGCCAAGGAGTTAAGTGAATATGAACTGTTTATTTTTTCCTTCATGCAACTCATTTGTTTGACAGGTGCCCAAGAGCACATTTTTGGGAGGTGTCAGTGTTCAGTGCTATTTATCGCTCAGTATTAAAAAGATAAAAATAAATCCAGACTATGAAGTGGAACTAGCTAAGCTTCTTGATATAGAAACCTGAGCCAGGTATGGGGCCAAGCAGTGGGAGTGAAAGTTTTCCAGAACTGAGAACTGTTTGAGTCCTATCGAATGCAGCCTGAACAATGTGGCAGCTTCTAGGCCAACTCAGGGGTTAGGACAGTGCAGAAATAAATGGTGTGAAGCCTAGTGCTCCTTAACTGCTGACTTGCAGGGCCTGAAGAATCAGGAGGAGGCAGAGTAGAGAAAGCTTTAGGTCTATTTTTTCCGGCATCTCTGGTTGGTATGAATTCAAGGAGAACCCTTGCTCATCCCAGCATAAAATCTGAGCAACTCTACAGCTAACTTGCATTTAAGAAGAGTAACAGTAAACACAGAAAACCAGCCCAACGTTTTAACTTACACAGTACCCGTCCTCAAGCTTTACAAAGCTAAAGATAAGCAGTTAGAATTTTCCCTGACTTGGTAGAGCTGCATCTATTTATGGAAGAACTCAAATCGTTATTCAGAACTGACATAAGGCAGGGCAGGGTATCTAGGGCTGCAGGTAGGTAGGCAGTCAGGGTTATTTTTAAAGCCACAACTTTGATGTACCAACAAATAGTTAATAACAATAAAATGATACTAGTGCAAACAGGATTATTCCAGCAGGATCTCTTTGCTCCTTTATCATTACAGAAAACACATGCCATCTCTTTAAGCCCCCACCAAATACAGCTTTTGTGATATTCCTGGAAATGTAATCAGAGCTATTCTTGTTTTCCAAATATTGTGCTAATAATTAGTCTCACAGCCATGTTATATGCAGGTTTCAAAAGGATGGAAACTATTTGATTTTCTTCCTTAATATGGAGGAAAAAAAAAATCTGTGATTTTTGGCCTTCTGTGATTTGGGTGAGCAAAGCAAGGACCAAAATGGCAAACACTATGACTAATTTCAGAGAATTCATCACACAGGCAATCCAAACTCTGGGTTGTGTGGATAACTAATAGGGAACAGAAATCCAGCAAATGCCTTTGGCTATAGAGGCTACAATCTGTGCACTGTTAGCCTATGGATCAATACAAGGTTAGAAAAAAGAAAATGTATCTGAGGCATAGGTTAGATTTACAAAAGAGAAGTAGGGTTTCTCTATCCAGGATTATCACAGCTATGCAGTTGCAGTTTTAAAGATAGAAATGGTAGGAAAATCGGGGCTAGAAATGAACATAAAGCTGCATCCAAAGCACTTATCTAAAGGGTTAAGTTACCTTACTTGCTGTCAGTGTGTCTCTGTGCTTTTCAGTGCCATCATGAAATAGAAGTTCTGCTGCTGAGAACAGAGATCTGTCTTCCAGGAAAGGAACTGCCCCTTGTGTTGTGAAAGCAGGCCATCAATTAAACTAGAGTGACAGTTCTCAAAGTCCATGGAGAGGATGGCACAGAATAGCCACACTCTTAATCATTAGATTCTGTATCTAGGGGGACTGCTGAAGTAAAGGGACACCTCTGATCCCACACCCTGGGATCCTCCAGGCTAGCAATTCCTTTGGTAACATCTGAGAGTTCACTCTGGGAGAGTGAACCTGTACTGCTGGTTCTTGGTGCTGCTGTGCCTGAAGGCAAGCTCTTTTCACAGTACACAGTTGCAGTGCATGTTGAAATTATTCTGCTGTGCTTCCAGTGAGGCTTTCCATGTGCTTCTTTAGGAGCCAGGCTTCAAGACAAGAGCATGACAGAGCAGAAAACTACCTGCAGCTTTGTTTTACAGATAGTTGAAGTATTTACTGAGGGTCAAATGAAGGGCTTAACCTGAATGTCTGGATCATTTCTTGATGCCTCATTCTTTCTAGAGGTGTTAACTGCAAGAGTGCCCCCTCAGCTGAACTCAGATATGTGTCAGTCACTTGTGAATGCTCCTCTCCAGCTGTGATTACACAAATATAGATACTAGAGATCAGATTACATAGCCTTTCTCAGCTGACCTCATGTGTAGGATCAACAGCCATAACAAAGCAGGAAAAGGGTCACTCAGTATCCAAAGTTAGCAGTGATTCAGCTTGCCCCCTAGACTGACTACTAAAAGCAAATGGTTAGGACTCTGTGAATCACCTTCCCGCAAGCGGACAGAGTTGAGGAGATTGCCTGTTTGTCACACAGGTGCTCAGAAATCCCCCAGCTTGTCCTCTCTCCCCCGTGCTCCATGCTGTGTGCTGGACCAGCAAGGCAAGGTGCCAGGAAGCTAGAAGGCAGAGCAGCTGTTGGGGCAGTGAAAGCAAGCGCATTGTGTTGAGTCTGAGTCCAGGCTGGGCCAACATGGTGCTGCAGCCATACTTTGCCAAAGCGGCTGTGTTTGGCAGCAAGCTTTACCATTAACCACCAAACTGCCACGACTAGTTCTAATTCTTAGTTTGGGCTAAGTTCTCCAAAACCTAGTGAAATGTTCCAAAACAGATCCATTTCTTCTGAATTCTCCATCCTGTCTTCCTGTTTAGACTGATTTTGTGGAAACTCTTCTAAATAACCCTCCTGTCCTTCATCTAAGAGTCTTCAGAGTGGCTAAATGCAGGTGAGGGACTTGCTTTTGTTTGCCTACTTTCAAAATTAGTTTTCGTGTTTAACCAAGGAGTGAATGGCTTCACTAGTTACTATCTGCACAGTAAATCCTGCCTGGAAGCTACAAGGAACTGTCTTTCCACTATGTTTCTGCAGGCTCTGTTGTGGTACATGTAAAATCAGTTAGGTGGCAGGAGGAAAAGGCAAAGCACGTGCTAAACTATACAAGCAAATGCACAATACAGTGAGCAAAATTAATGGATCTTTCTAGTCTAGGAATAAAGAACTACTGTCTTGAAATAAGAGAAATTCTTTACACTGAGAACTTCCCATCACTGTATGACCACCCCAGTGATAAGGTAGAATCCCCATCACGAGGTTTTTGAGATGGAGTTGCTCAGAGTGCTAGATAATCTCATCTGGGCTCTCTTTTCTCACAGAATGTTGGACTTGATGATTTTCCAAGATTCTTTCCAACCTGGGTTCTCCTATGACTAGGATTAATTGCTAAGGTGGCAGCCAAATGCGCTATCCCACAAGCAACATGAAGACAAGGACTAGTATTGCTTTCTTACATTTAGTGCTCTTTGTGCAGTCTTGCCACCTGTCTCTGTCCTTCTCTCAGCACCCTCCACCCCCACGGGCTCATCTCCAACTTTCCAAAGCACCCAGTGCCCACTGCAGCCATGTGGCAAAGTTTGGAGGCAACAGTGGCTGGCACAAACCATAGCCAAGCAGTGTGGTGGTGTGGTGTGCAGCACAACTTTTTCCAGCCATCCTCTGTCAGTGATGAACACGTTTGTAGCTTTGGCTTGTTGTGACTTGTTACCACTCCATCTACAGAATAACAGCTACTTCTATGTTCTTTCATAACATAAGGAAAAGAAGATACCTGCATGTAAATTTCCACTTAGAGAGATGTTTGCAACACTTCTCCCAGTGGGAAGAAATCATGTTATCTGACACAGTGAGAATGTGTGTGTGCTGGGGAGCAGGGGCAAAACCTGGTGAAAGATTAAGAGGGCTGTGATCTCTCTCACGTCCCTGAGCAATCTGGGAGGATGCTCTCTAAAATGCCTGAAGAGTAGACCTGATATTTATTCCCTGATAATTAAAGACAATCCCAGCATTAGTGGCCCTGTCACCACTTCCTATTAGAGGTCAGTCCTGTATAGTAAATTGTCTGGAGCTATATAGCTCTAGCGTCAAATACTCTGTCAAAAGCCCCACTGTGTATAACCTCACAGTCCCTGCCCACCTCCTCCTAGCAAGGGGCCTCAGCCTTCCAGCAGCCCCACTGGCCTCCCCTGCCTTCTCCAGCCATGTGGAGCAAGGCTGCTTGCTGACAGCCCTGGATTGAAAATAGGGGGTGAAAGTTCATGAAATACCTGTCCCATCCCCTGCACTGCATCTTGGTCAGAAAACATTTGTTGTGAAAACTGACATCCTTCCAAGAGAGCTGAATCATCTTGGAATAAAGTGTTCACCAACAAAATGAAATTGAGCCTTGTCTCCTTCCCTTTACAGCAAGGGGAGAGAGAAAAGAAGGTCAAATACAAAGAAAGCTTGAGCGTTTGGGGGTGAAAATACACAATTCAGGAGTCAAAGCATTCTAAAGTGCTATAAAAATAGCTCATCATTTGGATCCTATGATGATAGTGGATGTGCATCTGCCACTGACTGAAGTCAGAGGGATCTCATTTCTTTACAAGGCTGTTGCTCTCATTCTTGGCTATAAAGCCGTGTAAATAACATATGGTACAAACAGCGTCACTGAAACCTGCCAAAGTTTTGAAATACTTAAAGTTAACTACTGAAACCAAGCCACCTGTCCAGTAAGTTCTCCTTGAGCTGTTCCAGTTCATCATCATTGCAGCATTATGTTGATGGAACGCCATAAATCTATGGAGGCAGATAGTACATTCTTCCTGCCCAATAGAAACTTCCCTCTAAAGATGAGTGAACACAAGGTGAAATTTTCCAAAATGTAGCTTATCTGAGCTTTGGTGGTTACTTGGAGAGGAAAAACTGACAGAAGCATTTCCAAAGTAGTTTTTGCCCTGTGGTTAGCTGTGTGAATGTGGGAGAAGGATGGTGACGCATATTTTATTGTGGTCAGAGAAACAGCTTGGGCCTGTCCTATGTCTATGTAAGAGGATTTCTGCGCATTCTCCACATAGTCCTGATGCTCATCAACCTGATGACAAGACCAATAGTTGCTTAATTGAAAATACATTAACTTTTTTTCCTGTAGGTTAGTTGTCTGACTACTAATTTCCCATTGCAGTGGAACCCTTCTGACTGCAGGGCCCAAGGATCCTTCCAGGCTCTGATTCTCTAACTTTGTTTTTCTGAAGTTGAGACAGCCTGACCAATACCTCTCCTACACGCCTGGGAACTTGGCCCACTTTGTACAAAGCTCTGACAGAAGCCAGCTTTTCCTGAGTTCTTCATAGCAGTCAACATCAGAACTGGCA